ACACTATCTGACCGAAATCGAGCGCCGCTATGATATACGGGAAACTGGTCTTGGTGGGAAAAGAAAAGGAGGCAATCTGGATTTTTTTTGTGGAGTCAATTTCGTTGTTTACACGACCATCTCTGGCACGCAATAAATATAGATACGACCTTTCTGTTGAAAAAATAAAGACATTTTGGATAGACAAGAACTATTTTTGGAGAATGAGTTCTTTGTAGTATTACTGCTTACAATGGGAACTTTTTTCCGGCGAGCTAGAGGGGCTGGGCAATGGCTGACGGCCCAAGGTCAAGCTCATTTTTCCTACTAAGTTTATACCGCGATTCTGACGATTTGGATACCTTTACCGAACAGGGTGTTTAAACCTTTTACAAGTATTACCATACGTCGATCTTGTGGCTGCCAGAATATAGGTTCCTTACCTCGATCTGAGACAGCACGTAGAGCTTAATTTCGCAGCGAAGGGCTGTTTCTTACGAGCACCGGGTTAGCTGTGAAGTTCTCATCAAAGCGATACATAGCACAAAAACAAATTACCTACAATAAGAGAGATCTCAGTGCTGCAATGAATCACCAATTCATTACAAAGCTTCTTTACTGTTTCTGAATCCAGAGGTACAATTTGACGGTACATGCCAAATAACTGTTTGTATAATATTCCGCATAAATACAAAGAGTTGATGAACGAATTGGCGGCTTTGTTCTTTCTTGCATAGGTAGCGCTTGTGTTCGACTAACTTTGAACGCGTGTCTTCCACACGGCGACCTCAAGCCTGAAAATATATTGATAGACGCAAGTGAGTGCTTTAAGCCGGCCGATTTTGGAACTCAGGAATTTGTGTCGTACACACGACCATGTGGCAGCGGAGATGCTGCAATAGGTCGAATACAAACAACGTATTAACGTATGGTCATTCGATTACGTTGCGTATGATGTACTCATATCTTGAATCAATGTCTAAAGAAATTGAATTTGGGGAGGGTACCTGCGTGAATTTAAGCACATTGCATCGATTTTTTTTTAAGAAAAGGCCAGATATAAGTGATGGCGAACAAAATTCCGTTATTGATGATGAGGCCTAGAATGCGTTGCAGGAAGAAAAGTGTAAAGAGAAAAAGACTCGATACTATGAATTTTAAGTTAGGCGTGCTTACCCTATCAGATCCATCACTGCTCGGTAGTCTCCTCTGCATAGAAACCAACCGCTCACAGGAACTATGAAACGTTAGACCTATTGCCATATCATCGACAGGTCAGCAGGTTTAAAGTTCAGTTAGGTCGGAGAAACTGCCATTGGGTCCCACTTCGCTTTGGTGTCTTTGTTCCAAAGAGTGAATACTTTGCTCGTTATACCGATCTTATGGCATATCCGATCTGCATTACCAAAAAGAAATGTAAGAAAGCACGTCAGTGTCAGTTCTTAAAACAGTCTTATCTTACAAAGGAATTCCCACAACTGCTGAAAGCAATGCTATCTACCTATCTATCTCTAGTACTGGGCTCCAGAAGCCCAGTGCTTCTATAACTCACGTAGTTTGCTTTTACCACTCTGATTTTCTCGTTTGAAGCGCGACTCTCGCTGTTTTCACTTCAGTTGTTCGTCTGATCTAAACAGATTCAAGAGAAGTAGTCTGCTCAGTTGGACAGATCTTCAACAACATTTAGCAGAGTCTTTGTCGAGGACTAGGTACCGTCCTCTTAGTGACTAACTACCAGGCCGCTCGCGCCGCGACGACCGGTGCACGCGCGCTAGCGCAACTAGAATCATCCCCTTTGACTAATGGCCTTGTAATGGTCCACGTATATGTTAGCAGGTGAAAAATAAGAATGCGTCTGCACGTTCCACGAGTGAGCAGTACGAGAGAAGTTCTAAGATCCCAGAACTGTTCTGCATTCACGGTAAAAGAGGGGACAACATTAATGATTTGATAAAACCAGCTGTCCAATACTTCAAAGATAATGTCCATAAGCTCAATCAGCCCAAACACGCTCTTAACCTATATTTGTCCGAGTATATTGGGCCTATTTCACAGCGGGAGCCAGCTGCAGCATCGTACAGCAAATACTCACGCAAAAACAGCTGGCAGTAAAATTACAGTCAAAATTATTTATTGTACACGCAAATGCAATAAAGTGTATGTGTTTTAAAAGCATACCATCGATTTCAGGCTCCTTTACGAAGGCACTACTAAGCAGCACACTCAAATGGCACTTGATTACGTGGCCAGTGCCTTTTCGTGGTGTACGTTCTCCTTATAAACCTCTGATAGGGAAAGAGGCGATCCAATGCTTTCTTGCACAGAATATTTGACTATCTCGCATGTATCAAAGTAACTCTCACTCAACGCAAGTGAATACCTTTAGGCGACAGAAAAAACCGATTATTCCGAATCGATGCAAATGAGTCAGAACATGTGGGTCTAGACGGCGCCAATAATGTTACTGAAATATGGATACAGACAGGGTATCGATACGTGGTCTTTCGGCTGAATTGTTTACTTCACATTTTATTATACTGCCCCTCCCGAGAACAAAGAGGCAAAAGATGTACTCGTTTAGCGGCAGATGAGACGCTTGAGTTATTTATATTGGAAGAAGGTGTTACTGACAGTGCTCATCATCTTGTTAAGGCTTTATTGGAAAAAAATCATCACAAACGTTGTCTTGACCGTAATAAAAAAAAGCGTAGAAGAGGTTTTCAAATTGCGCAAACAGCCAGCCTGGGTACATCTGTATAGCCAAAAAGATCTGCGTCCAATAGCCATTTTGAAGTCGAAGTCAGCCCTAAACACGGTCGGCGAGAAAACTGGCCACACAATCCTGAAATTAGTAATTTCTAGATTTGAGTTCAAACGAATGAAAAAGGTTCTTTTCGTGCGATCTGTTTTATCCTGATATTGATATATAATATGTAAACAAGTGTTCTGGCTTCACGGGTACAACCGATTTCATTGCAAACAAGATTTACAATAAGAAAATTCAAAAGACTTGAAATGATATGGCCCTCTTAAGTAACGTATTACTGAACAGGCAGCATAAATAGATA